TTGCGGGGCCGATTTTCATGTGTGCTGCAGTGGAATTAGAAACGAAACTTGTTTCTGAAAGACAGAACCTTCGAATCTCGGTGTATCATTTACTTTTTTACTTTTTCGAAGGATCGGATCCCTACGGAACTAATAGTAAGGCAAGAGCTATCGAGATCATTGCCTTATAAGTTTAAAATGAGACGAGATACTTAGCACTCTTGAAATGCGGGCAAACTGAAGTGTTTGGGACCAGCGAGTGCACCCATTGTTTCCCGGTTAGCTCCTACGCAGTACCGTCACCGCGGTGCAGGCTCAGGGTAGGGAACAAAATTCGCGTCGAAATCTGCCTCCTGCCTCACCCCACCCGGGTGTTTCCTACACGTACACGATAACAGCTAGTGAATGTACCTCAATCTTAGATGAGTGAGTCGGCTTACGGTACACTCAGGTGGATCAGCTTACAGAGCATCCAATGATGCGCCTTCACGGGCGAAGAGCGTTGAGTACCTGCGAGCTTGGACAGTTACCACTGATCGTAGGCTCTTTCGAAGTGCAATTATCGCAAAACGCTGTTTTGCGGGCAAAAGTCGGACCTCAGGTCGGACTAATCTTTTATCCATAACTCAGCGTTCTTGTTATAACTTTCCGAGCGCGTACTGCGGTGTTAAACAGCAATCATCATGTCAAAACCACTCTAAAGCATGAGCTGCAGGTTTGAATGTTGGTAGGGCGTAGTCAGTATTCTTGTGACCTTGCCTTAGTATCGCGAAATGAAGCGAAAAACAAGCGTACGTTCCGCTAGTCAGTCAGTACGCCTCGCGTTTCCCTCACGTCTCAGAATGACAGCAAAAAGCGCTGCTTGCAAAGCGTCACTGTTAGAAACCTGGAGAGATTTCGTCAAAAAAAATCTGCAGAATACGGATAAGTTGAATACAATCCCATTGACTCGACTCGGGCGTTGGGATGGTGTTTAACTAGAGGTAAATAGTCATCCTCTGTGAAAGATAGAAGTTCAGCATCTATCCAAAGATTACGGGGAGATACAACCTCGGATATTTGAAAACGGTACGCGTGCCAATGGCGAGGGCTGATGTCTGAATGAATGTACGAAAAAGTCCATGCAGAAGGAACAAAATCCTTCAGAAAGACTGGAGAC